TTTTGCCATATGTAGTTCTGTTCCTAAATAATATAGTTATTGGTTTTGTATGATTTTAAACTTTGTTTATTCTGTTTGGGGTTCACTGAACTTTTTCAATCCAAAGACTAATTATAGTCTTATTAAAATTAAAAAATTTATTTCAGGTAGCAATTCAGGATTTATCAGTGAACCAATGATGAAGTATTTATACTTTTAAAATACTTGTCTCATTAAGAAATTTCTTTTTTCAGGGACAAATGGAGGGCAATAAACTTTTTTTTAAAAGATTTTCCTCTTGTTATAAATACAATTTTGTATCCAATCTTTCCAGCGGATTTTGGGGTGGTGGTAAATGTGTGTAAGGTGGAGTTTTAGCAGAATTAGCGTGCTCTTCTTGGTAGGTAAGAACTGTGCCTTCATTTCCTATGAGATAGGCCAGTGACCACGACTCTTGCTCAGGGAACGCCAGTCAGCACCTGTGAAGCCTCCCATGGCGGCAACTGTTGTCCTGTTCTGGAATTAAATGGTTATCCTTGCAGCAGTTTTGCCAGATAAGCCACCAAGCCCACAAGAGGCACAAAGGCACTTTTGGGGGGTCCATGTTGGGGTTCTCCATGAATGTCCTGTTTTCTTACCTTTCCTGGTAGGGTGGGATACGTAGGAACAGCTCCATATTTCTCAGTCGGTGGCACTTGGGGGGCCAGAGTATGCAAGGCACCCTCAACTCTCAGTACAGGCTGTGAAACACCTTTGGAATCCCTCGGTTCTTGAGGTTTGAACTCAAATGATGCTTCTTGGCCGAGAGAGAGGGACAGGTAATAAGGGAAGGTGGAGAAAGAGCAGGAACCCAGCAGCTGTTGAGCCCCCGTGAAACACTCAGCAGCGTGACAGTGTTCTAAGGATGTGACCTCATTTTATCTTCCTATCAACTCTTTTGGGAGATATTATTGGCCTCTAATTCTCAAATTAGGAAATTGAGACAGAGAGAAATAAAAGTAACACAACCAGTAAGCAGTAAACTCAAAATTCAAGCTGAAGCTGAACTCCACCTTGCCCTGTTTATTTAGAAAGTGCAGTCTTTGCACTCCTGTGCTTCATGTATTTTGTTACTCTCTAATGCCTTATTTTTTTGTCTATTCATGACAAATTTACAAGGCAAATGAAATATTAAATTAGCCTTCAACAAATTTTAGAGCAGTTAATGAAAATAATTATACATATAGATGTATATTTTTTATATATATATATATTTTTTTTTTTTTTTTGCAGTTTTTGGCCAGGGCTGGGTTTGAACCCACCACCTATGGCATATGGGGCCAGCACCCTACTCCTTTGAGCCATAGCGCTACTCCCATAAATATATATATATATTTTTTTATTAGGTCATAGTTGTGTACATTAATTCTCTCATAGGATACAGTGTGTTACTTCTATATGCAGTTTGGAAAACTCTCATCCAGGTGGCCAACATAGCCATCATGTCTTTCTCATAATTGTTATGCTAAGACATCTAAAATATATATTTTTTAAGAGACAGAGTCATACTTTGTTACCCTCAGTAGAATGCTGTGGCGTCACTGCTCACAGCAACCTCCAGCTCTTGGGCTTAGGCGTTTCTCTTGCCTCAGCCACCCGAGTAGCTGGGACTACAGGTGCCCACCACAATGCCCAAATGTCTATTTTTTTGTTGCAGTTTAGCCAGGACGGAGTTTGAACCTGCAACCCTCAGTATATGGGGCTGGCGCCCTACCCCCTGAGCCACAGGCACTGCCCCACATAAATAAATATTGAGAAGCAAGTAACTTTGAACAGCTTTAGTGTTGTGCATGGAAAATATGTAATTTCCTTCTTATTATGTTCATGTTTATTTATATGCTAGTGATATTCATCCTCTAATATGCTAAGAGAGTTTATGAAAAGCTACAGTGAAAAAACATAAATCAAATCCTACCCATTTCATTACATTATGTAAGGAGGAATGTGTTTTGAATCTCACCAAATATTTTATAAAACAGAAATATAACACTTAACAATCCAGATTCATGAACCAGACTCCCTGGATTTGAATCCCAGCTCTGGGTGAAAATTACTACAGCTACTTTCTTCAACTATAAGGCAGAGCTGCTAACAGTGACACTTACCTCACCTCTGAAGGTTGCTACAGTATCTTGTGAACTGATGTTCAGATCCCTAGAACAGAACCAGGAGCATGCCAAGTGCTCAGCACCTGGTGGGTCTTTTATTTCTCTACATGTGAAGGAACAGGTCTGTAGCCTACGACTTGCTCGGTTCCCTGCTGTCAGCGGCAGAGCTGGTGTTGGCACCCAGGTCTCCCTTTCTCAGTTCAGTGCTGAGTGCCCCAGTGACACCCACAGCAGGACAGCATGGGAAGCTAGAATTTTCCCTCTATCTTTACCCTTACTGCTGATAAATTGAAAATGCTATTTCTGTGCTCTGAGTGTCCATCGTCCACTGCTGGGCAAGCTTATCTTTCCCAGGGCCCCCAGTTACTGTACTGCCTGGTCTGCTGTCACAGCCTTGTGCTGTCATCCCCCTAGCACAGTGGGTCCCAGAGGTGCTTGAAAGGCCAAAAATGTTAACAAATTCTATCAGGTCTGCAATCCCATATCTATATTTCTGAAATTCAAAAACTCTCAAATCTGAAAGCTTTGTCACAACCCGTTTGACTCCAAAACCTGCTCAGATCTGCAGTTAGTGACAAAACACCTGAAGTGACACGAGGCTATTTGTTGTTAGTATCTGTCCCTTAAAGTGTGAAGGATCCCACCCAAGATCCCGGGGCAATGAGATACCTATCACTCAGGGTCTGGGCAGAAAGAGATGGGGCACTCGTCCCAGGTGGATGAAGAAAGCTTATAAAGGGGATTGTCTGAAAGTGTGGCTGCTGCCAAGAAAACAATGGGCAGTGATGCAGAAGAAGCAATCAGCTGATGATTCAAACCATGAACTGCTCCCACCCACCCCTAGATTGGGAGGACCAGGTCTGGGTGGCAGTCACCCAAATTCAGGGATAGCAGCACAGCAGAGGTTGCAGCCAGGGGCAGTACATAGAGGGATTCAGCCTGCAACAAAACAGCAAAGGAGCCTGGGATGCTGACCCAACCTGGCTTGTCTCCCTCCCTCTAGATCTCCTACTGGTGCCTCCCTGTGGTTGCACCCTGCCAGAAGCCAGAGGCAAGGGAGCTCATGTGAAGATGCAGCCCACACAAGGTAGCCACCCAGGGCCCCAGCCAGAATAGTGAAGGTGGCAAGTGGATCTGGAGGGCTAATGGAAATATCTCACATGGCATATTCTATCATATCCAATATAAGCGCTCTGCTAACTTTCTGAAACATGACACCTCAAGAATGCTTAAAACAGTTGTATTTTATAAAGTCAACAACATATGGAAACCTTTGAAACATATCAATACATACATATAAAACATATTTCTGGTTTGCAGTTTTAATGCCATATAGATTTATGAGCCATTTATAATATGAATTCTGTGTCTACCCTGAAAGATTAGAATTATTGCAATAAAAATTGCTGCCTTGTTTATTAGATGCCTACTCTGCAAATCACTACGGGTTTGGGGGTTTAAAGACAAAAACATGATATCAGCCTTCCCACTAGCTAACAATTTAGTAAAAGACACTAATTTGTTGGAAAACAGTAACACAATCTTGGATTAGCAAGTAGTTTCCATCTCACAACTATCTTGCCGCTTGGGGTTTGGTTTTGAGGAAGGTTTCATGGCCACATCTGGGCTCAGAGGGAAAAATTGCCCTGATCAATTAGTAATGTCTGCCATGGGCACAGGAGTAGAGAACAGGCAAAGTACACAGTTTTGGATGACTGTGCTTTAATTACATGGCAGATGAAATTTGCCTACAATGGAAGTAAGAGCAGTTTCCATAGAAGAGTGGAAGGAGGAGTTATTTTGAATTAGGAACACTTGAGAAGCTTTAAGGGGTTAGATAGAGGGTTTTTCAGGAATTCCAGACAAGAAAATGATAGATAGGAACAAAGACAGAGTAAACAGGCCTATGTAAGTGGGACACTGGGTCTTAGGAGTGATCAAATATAGGTGATCAAGACAGATAAATGAGAGGCTATACTAAGGAGTTTGAACTTTATTTCATAGCACATGAATTACAATCGAGGGCTTTTGAGAAGAGCACATCTTGTCTTAGGAAAATCACTTTACCAGCATTAGCAGGATTATGAAAGGGAGGTGGGGTTTAAGAGGAAGCTGATGGAAAATTATCTTTGTGAAGGAATCACTGCCTGTCACCTAGGCAAGAGATGGAGACGTGAGAACAGAGACATCAGCTGCGGGAATAGAAAGAATGGTTGGCAGGCGTTTTGAGGAAGCGATGGCAGATTTGATAACCTATTGGAGGGAGAAGCCAGAAGTGAGTCCCAGGTGCCTACAACATGAATGTCCTCCAGGAGGAGGGGCGCTGCAGTGCTGTGCATCCAGAGGCAGTGCTATGGCCGAAATATTTACAAGGAAATACCCGGCAGGTATTTAACATTGTTAGTCTGTAGTTGGGGAGGAAGTGGGGAGGCAGGAATGCCAGGGACAAAATCCACATCAGGAGACGTTCCGCTACTATAATCCCTTACTATAGTTCCCAAACTCAAGAAGTTGTACTAATTACAAGTTTTTAAAAAGTTTTGTGCCAAAATTCATTGGATGATAAGCTGACCCTGAACAAATTTGAGACTATTTATAGATGTTATTTATCCCACTCAGGGTCAATATTCATTCTTTTCGTTGCAGAAATAATGGCAGGATACAATCCCAAATTTTATTGAGCAGAGAGTGTTTTATAGTAATAACGCATGCACCAAATTACCTTTCAATAGTGTGTGTGTATATATATATACATACATATACACTTTAAAATATATATAAATTCTGAAACTCATCTGGCCCCAAGGTTTTAGATGAGGCATTGTGGACATGTATAAATATCTATACTATTTCTTTTTTTCCTTTTCTTTAACACAATGTGCTGGCTTTCTGAATAAATTTAAAAGGATAAATACTCCTTTCAATGCAGAGGAAAAGAATAGCCATTGCTTTAGCACAAGGTCAAAGTCAAGGGTTTTTTTTTTCTTTTTTGTTGAGATAGAGTCTCACTGTGTTGCCCAGGCTAGAGTGCCATTAGCCTAGCTCTCAGCAACTTCAAACTCCTGGGTTCAGGTGATACTTCTGTGACAGCCTCCTGAGTAGCTACACCCAGATAATTTTTCTATTTTTAGTAGAGACGGGGGTCTTGCTCTTTTGCTCAGACTGGTCTAGAGCTCTTGAGCTCAAGGGATCCTCCTGGCTTGGTCTCCCAGAGTGCTGGGATTACAGATATGAGCCACCATGCCCAGCCCCTATACTATTTCTCAACTTCACATTTTAAGACAGTATTATCTTAGTTTTGGCATATCTTGCATAAAGTACAATAGGTAAACAAGAGCTTCTTTTTATGTGAAATTCTTGGAGAACTAACCATTTTTTGTGTGTATGTTTTCCGTACACCCCTGCTTGATGTTTCTTTTTAATTTTTTTTTTTTTTTT